TCAACAAATTTAGAAATTGAGCTTTTGATTTCAAAATCATTAATCCAGATTGTTCAATCAAATAGAGATCAGAACTTTAATTAAACTTGATTTTCAAACTAACCATTCATCGTTTTGACACACAAAGAAAAGAACAACTGATATTTCCTGTGACATTTACAATGTTTCAAGTTTGATGAGGTCACGTTGCAAAGCTGCTGAGTCTTTTTCAAAAGCCAAGGATGGAGGGTTGCGAAAAGGTAAAATCTGCCTCTGTACCCCTTCTCTAATACTGGTTTTAACTCCGTTAGTCTTCCAAAGTGCCGTAAGTAATAGACCTTTTGTAAATTTTATATTGGCAAAGGATGCAGATGCACATTTTGTGACTATGGCTTCTTTACAATAAATTATTTTTGCTGACAAACGGTATAATGACATGAAACACAAAATTCTACCTCGAAAAAGCAGGACATGGGCTTGGCAATGAGCTACGATGCCCAGCTCTCAGATAGGACAAATATGGCAGGACTTACTTCTGTACCACGATTAAACTGTGGATTAACTCTTAGAACTTTTTGAAAAATCACACTCGGACACAAAAGATGATATACGCAGGACACTGTATCTGTAGTCCAGGTAACTCAGCTGCACAGAAATAAATCTCCTGAATCCTTGAGTGGATCTTCACATTCAATTTCCAATCTAACTTATCCTTAATTAAAAGTAATCTGCAAACAGCAAGAGAATACGATCCACTCTCTCACAGCAAATTAAGTGTTTTTCTTTGGATAATCACACAGGTAATATTTTCAACTGCGTTAAGACTGAAAACAAAACGTAAAAAATTCATTTGCTCAGCACATTAAATGGGAACCAAAAGAACTGCAGATGTTGGAAATTAGAAACATAAACAGAAATTGCTGGAAAAGCTTAGCAGGTCTGGCAACAGCAGTGGACAGAAATCAGAGTTAACACTTCAGATGCAGTGACCCTTCCTCAGAACTGAGGTCTCTCCACAGATGCTGCCAGACCTGCTGAGCTTCTCCAACAATTTCTGTTTTTGTGACATTAAATGGGAAGTTACCTCTTGGTATACCCCACTTACTACAGACCAGTATACCCACAACCAATTCTGCCCTTGTTTCTGGAATCCACTGTAAATGACAAGCTCTCAAACTTTTTGAAGAAGTGACAAAGAAGATTGATGAAGGCAGAGTACTGGATAGTGCTTACATGGACTCCAGCAAGGTGTTCGACAAGGTTCCACATGGTAGACTGGTTGGCAAGGCTAGATCACATGGAATACAGGGAAAGCTGGATTTGCATACAATATTGGCTTGAGGGTAGGAGACAAATGGTGGTGATGGAGGGCTATTTTTCGGACTGAAGGCCTGTGACCAGAGATGCGCCTCAAGGATTGGTGCTGGGTCCACTGCATTTTGCCATTTATATAAATGATTTGAATGTTAGTATAAGAGGAATGATTAGTAAGTTTGCAGATGACACCAATATTGGAGGTGTAGTGGACAGTGAAGAAGGTTACCTAAAAGCACAACAGAATCTTGATCAGAAGGGCCGATGGGCCGAGCCATGGCAGATGGAGTTTGATGTAGATAAATATGAGGTGTTGCATTTTGGAAAGGCAAATCAGGGCAGGACTTAGACACTGAACGGTAGGGTCCTGGGGAGTGTTGCCGAAAACAGAGAGCTTGGGGTGCAGGTTCATAGATATTTGAAGGTGGAGTCACAGGTAGATAGGGTAGTGAAGAAGGCATTTGGTACACTGGCCTTTGTTGGTCAGTGCATTTAGTATAGAAATTGGGATGTCACATTGCAGCAGTACAGCACATTGGTTAGGCCACTTCTGGAATACTGCATGCAATTCTGGTCTCCCTGCATTCGGGAAGATGTTGTTAAACTTGAAAGGGTGCAAGAAAGATTTACAAGGATGTTGCCAGGGTTGGAGGGTTTGAGCTATTGGGAAAGGCTAGACTGGGACATTTTGCCCTGGCGTGTAGGAGGCTGAGGAGTGACTTAAAATCGTAAAATTATAAAATCATGAGGGGCATGGATAGGGTGAAAAGCCAAGGTCTTTTTCCTCGGGTACAGCAGTCCAAAATTAGAGGGCATAAGTTTAAGGTGAGAGGGGAAAGATATAAAAGGGACCGAAGGGGCACCTTTCTCACGTAGAGGGTGGTGTGTGTATAGAATGAGCTGCCAGAGGAAAGGGTAGAAGCAGATACAATTACAACATTTAGAAAGCATCTGTATGGGTACAGGAATAGGAAGGGTTTAGAGGGATATTAGCCAAATGCTGACAAATGGGACTAGATTAATTTAGGATAGCTGATTAGCATGGACGAGTTGAAGCAAAGGGTCTGTTTACATGGCATACAACTCTATGACTTTAATAGCGGCTGAGCGAGAGCTCATCACCAATTTGGCTTTCACTTTCTCACTAATTAAACTAAGTTAAGTTCTAAACTCTTCCTCATAATTGTAGCAAAGGAAAAAAGGGAATTGGCCCAATAAATAAATGTACAAATCAGGAACAGAAGTGGGCCATTTGGCCCTTCAAGCCCTCTCGCCATTCAATAAGATCATGCTGATTTGTTGATGTTCCAAATTCCACATTCCCATTTACCCGAGTTAACCTACGATCTACGATCTACCTTCACCGTAAAAATATTCAATGGCCCTGCCTCCACCACCTCCTGAAGTGGACAGTTCCAAAGGCAGACTCCCTCAAAGAGGAAACATTCCCTTCATTTCTTTCCTAAAAGGGCGACACCACCACCACCACCACTGACCCCGACACACACACACACACAGACACAATTTTAATAGCATTCTCCCAAGTTCTGGAATCACCCATTAGAGTAAACATCCTTTTCACATCCACCTCATCAAGGCATTCAAAATGTTATACACTTCAGTACAATCACTCTTGCATTTCTAACTTCAGTGAAAACAAGACCAAGCTGTTCATTCTTTCCTTCTAAGACAACGTACCCATTCCAGGTATCAATCTGGTGAACCTCCTCTGAACTGTTTCCTATATATTTATATCCTTCCTTAAATAGGGAGACCAACACCGCACACTCTACTCCAGATGTGGTCTCACCAATGGCCCGCACAATGGAAGCATTTTTTGTTCAATTCCTCTTGTAATAAAGAACAGCATTCCATCAGCCTTTCTGATATGTGCTGTACTTGCATACCTCCTGTAACTCATACACCAGGAACACCTCGATCATTTTGCACTTTGGAATTCATCCTTTCTTGAATAGAGGGCTCGTTTCCAGAATCTGATGAATTTGGAAAAATTAACACCAATGAATCTATAAACTCTTTAGCTACGACTTTCAAGACTCTAAGATGAAGTCCATCAGAACTTGAGACTTGTCAGCCTGTTGCTCCATGAGTTTGCTCAGTACAAGTTCCCAAGTGACTGGAAATTCACTCTCTCCCTTCAACCTCCACAATTACACATATAATAGGATTTTTTTGTTTCCTCTGTAGTGAAGACAGAAGCAAAACATTAATTTAGTCTGCAATTTCTTTATCACACACAACTGACTCTCCAGAGGCCTTAACAGTTACGTTACCTTTCTAAATACATATGGGAACTCTTAGTATCTATTTTAACATTTCTCGCTGGCTTCCTTCCATGCTTTAATGTATTAGTCCTGATTAATCTTTTAACCATTCTCCGCTGCATTCTGACCAGTCACCTGATATACCATTTACCTTTGAGTATCCATTCACACATGCTTTTTCTTTAAATTTGACACTCTCCTTAACTTCTTTACTTAACCATAAATAACGTCCCTTTGGAATTTTTTTTTCTTTATTCATTAACGGGATGAAGGAGTCACTGGTTAGGCAGCATTTATTGCCCATCCCTAACTGCCAAGAGGGCAGTTCACAGTCAACCACATTGCTGTGGGTCTAGAGTCACATGTAGGCCAGACCAGGTAAGGATGGCAGTTTCCTTCCCTAAAGGGCATTAGTGAACCAGATGGGTTTTTCCAACAATCGACAATGGATTCATGGTCATCATTAGATTCTTAATTCCAGATATTTATTGAATTCAAATTCCACCATCTGCTGTGGCGGGATTCGAACCCGGGTCCCCAAAACATTATCCGGGTCTCCAGATTAACAGTCCAACAAAAGTACCAGTAGGCCATTGCCTCCCCATTTCCTACTATTTCCACATAGTAGGAACAGTTTTCTTCTGAATATTCTGAAATATCCTTTTAAACATCGGTCACTGCTTCTCAACTGGCCTATATGCTAACCAATATCTGAGTCCACTTCAGGTAGCTCTGCTTTCATGCCCAAATTGTTGCTTTTTTTTTTTAAAAAAGTTTGAGGTACTTTTTTTTGATTCACTCTTCTCCCCATCAAACTGGATGTAAAATTCAAAATTATGAATCATGCCACAATTAATTTTCTATGAGTTCTCTTCCACCTTATTTCAATTCACCCTATCAACATATCTTTCTATTTCTTTTTCCCTCATATTTATGATTACTGCTTTCTTCACTTCTGAACTCCTTGCAATGCATCAATGTCACAATGAGATTTGTGTGGTTATAGTTTTGTGGTACATACTGAGAAACCACAGAATTTGACTCAAATAATGAATAGTAAGAGAGAAACTGATTCCATGGTTGCTCACACAACCACTCCCAGTTACCAATGCATCTCACATTTCCATGGCAGTGCCTTTACCAGTCAGAGTCCACTTGTCAACTAACCAGCATGCTCTTCTGATTGTAGTATGAAATGTTCTCCTCCTCTACACTGACATTCTTTTGAACTGTCCCAACAAATGCAAAACAAAAGTACTCAATTTCACATCTCCATTAATGTACATCCAAAGTGTTAGCCACCTTGTTTACAGCTGACAAGCTCTAAGGAAAACCAGGAAAGGTATGCAAAAAAAGACAGCTTACCTTAACAGCTAGACACCGAAATAAATGGAAGGGTACATAACTTAAAAATGTCCTTACCTCTATTAGCTTTCGCTCATAGGTGTTAGCCAGCTCATCGTTATCAACCACAGGTTTAGGTTCTGGGATCATAATATCGGAATCACCACTCCGTAAGTTTGGAAGAACTAAATATGATGAGATAGTGAGGCAAGTTTAAAATTGTGTCTTTTCATGCTACATCATACAAAGAAATATATAAATAGCTAACTGTCATACAGAACTTGAGTATTGCTCCAAAAGAAAAGTCTACTTTGTCGAAACTTTTAGCTTTGCACTCATCAGGACAATTCACAAGAAACACCACTGCAAAAGGGAAAAAAACCATGCTGATTGGTTGGCAAGTGGACTCTGATTCGTAGAGACGCAGCCATAGAAAATGTAGCAATTAGTTGTTGCCTGACGAAGAACTACTAAGTTTTGTTTCGTATTTCTCGTACACTGACCTGATGAATGCACAATAACAAGTTTCAACAAAATCTATCTTCTTCTTGCAACACTAAAGAAATTTATTCCTCATATTACTGAATGAAGCATTACTGCATCCTAAAATATCATTCCAACTATCAAGTTTATTACTCTGGCTGAATCAACTGCTGTTTTTGATGAGCTTGGAAGCAAGGAGGGCATTTTATTAAGTAGGATAGTGGTGTGCCTGCACCACACCACCTTCTCAGCTCCACCTTAATTAAGTTAGGGCCCATTTCAATCTTCTCACACTGCCACCAAATCATGCCTATTTACGAGCATCAGCCCACTGGAATTAATCCAGTGGCAGATGGGACTGCCACATACAGCATGCATGGCAGCCAAACCAGCTTATCCCTAATGGGGGAGAATGGTGGGGAAACAAAGACATTGAGCACTTAATTGAAGTGGATGTCAGGAAAAACAAGGCGGGGATATACACCCCACCTGCTTTTACTGCTGATCCTTTATGACTTACCCGTGGTCTGGATCACCTCGTAATTCTGAAACTCCACTGCATGGTCATTTCAGCTATAGCCAGGGGCTTCCCAATGGCACTGCTAAGCAAAAGAGCAGTTGGCCTCAGTAGGCAGTGATATGGATTCCAGGTAAGGCCTTCTGGTTGCCTCAACACTTATTGACTTATGATGATTCATAACAACGATGTAGGCCTTCCCTAAAGGTGGCAGTGCAGGACTTTCGCCAGCTTCCCAGCTTGGAAGCAAGAAAACCGATGCCTCAATGAGATTCCATCTTTAAATATTGTCCTTTAGCCATGACTACATTATTTGTAAAATAACTCTCAGCTATTGAATTAGCTTTAAGTTCATGTTGTTATATTAGCTTCACAGGAATATTTAGCATACCACCGCATTCACAAAAGAAGCAAGCAATAATACGACTTAAAGATGGAAATCTTGAAAACTGGCACATAAAAATAATAAAATCACCAAAGTAAATTCATTGCTAAATTATTCTGCCGTTCCAGATTTCTTTATTCTCAAATCAACTTTCAGCATTAATAAATAAATAACCTTCACAAGTAACCTTCTGGAAATTCTAGGGGACAGAAGGTCAAGCATGAAGAAGGAACTTAAGAAAATCATTATTAGTCAGGAAATGCTTTTGGGGAAACTGATGGGATTAAAACCCAACATGCCCCCCAGGGCCTGATGCTCTGTATTCCAGAGTACTTAAGGAAGTGGTCCGGGAAATAGCGGATGCATTGGTGATAATTTTCCAGCATTCTGTAGACTCTGGAAGAGTTCCAATAGACAGGAGGGTAGCAAATGTAACTTTACTCTTAAAATAAAGGAGGGAGGGAAAAAAAACTGAGTAATTATAGGCTGGTTAGCCTGAAATCAATGGTGGAGAAATTGCTCGAGTCAATCATTAAGGATGTAATAACAGCATTTGGAAAGTGGTGACAGAATTGGCCCTAGTCAGCATAGATTTACTAAAAAGAAATCATACTTGACAAATCTTCTGGAATTTCTTGAGGGTGTAACCAGTAGAATGGACAAGGGTGAATCAGTGGATGTTGTGTACCTGGACTTTCAAAAGGCTTTCGACAAGGTTCCACACAAGAGATTAGTAAGGAAAGTTAAAGCTCATGGTATCGAAGGCAAAGTATTGATGTGGATAGAGGACTGGTTGGCAGACAGGAAGGAGAGGGTGTTGGAATAAATGAGTCCTTTTCAGAGTGACAGGCAGTGACGAGTGGGGTGCCGCAGGGTTCAGTGCTGGGACCCCAGCTGTTCGCAATATACATGAACAATTTGGATAAAGGAATCGAATGCAATATCTCCAAATGTGCAGATGACACTAAGCTGGATGGCAGCACGTACTGCGAGGAGGATGCTAACAGGCTGCAGGGTGACTTGGACAGACTGGCTGAGTGGGCAAATATTTGGCAAATGCAATATAATGTGGATAAATGTGAGGTTATCTACTTTAGAACATAGAACATAGAACATTACAGCGCAGTACAGGCCCTTCGGCCCTCGATGTTGCGCTGACCTGTGAAACCAATCTGAAGCCCATCTAACCTAAACTATTCCATTATCATCCATATGTTTATCCAATGACCATTTAAATGCCCTTAAAGTTGGCAAGTCTACTATTTTTGCAGGCAGGGCATTCCACGCCCTTACTACTCTCTGAGTAAAGAACCTACCTCTGATATCTGTCCTATATCTATCACCCCTCAATTTAAAGCTATGTCCCCTCGTGCTAGCCATCACCATCCGAGGAAAAAGGCTCTCGCTGTCCACCCTATCTAATCCTCTGATCACCTTGTATGTCTCTATTGAGTCACCTCTTAACCTTCTTCTCTCTAACAAAAACAGCCTCAAGTCCCTCAGCCTTTCCTCATAAGACCTTCCCTCTATACCAGGCAACATCCTGGTAAATCTCCTCTGCACCCTTTCCAATGCTTCCACATCCTTCCTATAATGCGGCGACCAGAACTGTACGCAATACTCCAAGTGTGGCCGCACCAGTGTTTTGTACAGCTGCAACATGACCTCATGGCTCCGAAACTCAATCCCTCTACCAATAAAACCTAACATACTGTACGCCTTCTTAACAACGCTATCAACTTTGGTCGCAAAAACAGAAAAGCAGATTATCTGAATAGTGGCAGCTTAGGAGAAAGTGAGGTGCAATGAGACCTGGGTGTCATGGTGGACCAGCTGTTGAAGGTTGGCATGCAGGTGCAGCAGGCAGTGAGGAAAGCTCATGGCATGTTGGCCTTCATAGCGAGAGGATTTGAGTATCGGAGTAAGGATGTCTTGCTGCAGTTATACAGGACCTTGGTGAATCCACATCTTGAATACTGAGAGCAGTTTTGGTCTCCTAATCTGAGGAAAGACATTCTCGCCATTGAGACAGTCCTGCGAAGGTACACCAGACTGATTCCCAGGATGGCAGGACTAACATGAGGAAAGACCAGATCGACTGGGCTTGTATTCACTGGAATTTGAGAAAATGAGGGGGATCTCATTGAAACATATAAAATCCTGATGCGACGAGACAGGCTATATGTGGCAAGAATGTTCCTAGGTTGGGGAAATTCAGAACTGGGGGTCACAGTCTAAGGATAAGGGGTAAGCCACTCAGGACTGAGATGAGGAAGAATTTCTTCACTCAGAGCTGTAAACCTGTGGATTTTTCTCCCACGGGAAACTGTTGGGGCCAATTCATTAGATATGTTCAAGAGGTTGCTGAACATGTCCCTTGCAGCTAAGGGAATCAAGTAGTCTAGGGAGAGGGCGAGAACGGGATACTGGGATTGTATAAACAGCCATGATTGTATTGAATGGTGCACGCTCAAAGGGCCAAATGGCCTCTTGCACCTATATTCTATGTTTCTAAAAGGTCCAATCATGTCAGAAGCTGTCAAATGAATTGCTAAGGTTACAAATATTTAATTTGTTTTCACAAGTTCACTTGTAGAAGAAATAGTTTGTATATATCAATATCTATATTGGTAGCATAAATAATTTTATGTACGAATGCATTCCAATTTTAACCATTCACTGTTCCAAGTCCATATAGTGGTTTGTTCAACGCTATGCAATCGCCTGAGATTTACCAAGAGAATTAACCCCATATAAAGATCAGAAATGAGACCAGGAGTAGGCCACCCCTCCTTGAACCTGCTCTGCCATTCAATAAAACTGATTTTTTTTAATCTTAATTTCTGCCCAAACGTCTTATTCTTTAATTTCCTTCATATCCAACATAACAAAGTAATGGGAAATACACCTCCCATTTGGGATTAATTAAACAAGATTGCAAGGCAAGTGTTTTATAGGATACATCCATTAAGCTATTACTACACCCCTCATATATGACACAGCTCACCCAGAGGTGTTTATATATAACATATTTCATTAGTATCACCATGTCTCCAAATAGCTGATGTTGAGTCTCTAAAGCAGCCAATCTGGTTGAAGTGATGAAGTTACGACACTCAAAGGAAGAGTCACTGGACCCAAATTGTTAACTCTGTTTTCTCTCCACAGATGCTGCCAGACCTGCTGAGTTTTTTCCAGCAACTTCTGTTTTTGTTGGGAGAGGTTATTATGCCCAAATGAAACCAGGTGTAAAATGGATTTTGTGCTCATAAGAAAGACCAGTTTGAAATTATGCATTTAGCATCTAATTTTAAGACAGATCTGAAAGTTTGGTACTAAAGCATTGACTGAACTCAACTTTTTTTGCGCTCACTCATTTACACAAGGGTGTGAGGGGCAATGACGAGAAGTGGAGCCAACATGGAAGTACATATCAAAGAGCAAGACAGAGGATGCCCAGCTTGTCCAAAGTAGCACTGGGAACCCTGGTGTAGAAAGCAGAGATGATGAATAATGTTCTCCAGTGCTGCAAACAATTAAATAACTTGACAAATATAATTAAGGTAAGATCACAACTGATAAATACATTTCTCAAAGAAGGAAATCCACCATCCTCACCTGGTAAGGCATGTGACTCCAGATACACAGCAATATGGTTGACTCTCAACTGCCCTCTGAAATGGCCTAGCAAGCCACTCAGTTGTATCAATCATTACAAAGTCTCAACAATGAAACCAGACAGACTACCTGGCATCAACCTAGACATCAGAAAGGTCAACAGCAGAAACAGCCTTATCTAC